GATAGATAGATAGATAGATAGATAGATGATAGATAGATACTAAACAGACTGATATAGATAGATAGATAGATAGATAGATAGATACTAAACAGACTGAGATAGATAGATAGATAGATAGATAGATAGATAGATAGATTCTTGTACATTAGTTTTAACCCGCTTGATTTAGCGACGGCTTCTCACTGACTACACGCGTGGCCTGATTTTACGAAAAGACATCTCAAAAGCATCATCCTAACAAAATATACATTGTCTAAATACCAACTCTTCTCTAAGATGTTCATTAAAAGAGATGTTTTGTTTTTGTTTTTTTTAAATGGCCATATGTCTATAATATTTCAGAATATTCCTGTTGAATAGAATTTACTTTTCTTTATACCGGCGATTATTCTATCGAACCTTCTGGTTTGTGGACGCATATATGTTGCGTATAAATTCAACAAAATAACAGGGCTCGTTACAGAATATATAAAGAGACAAAGCACAATATATATTAAATTCACATAGATGCAATCATCAGGCCATATGCGTTGTGTCTTTGCCCGACATTTATATATACAGGTAAGTGATCTATTTTGACTGTTAGTGATGTATTGTGTCTCATGTATTTTTCTAACGGTTATTTTGGTGGCTGGTAACGGTTATATTTCGAATGATTCTAGGAGACATTGTGTGGAAATAATTGTGGATCCGGATGTAGTCTTTTGTTATTTGATAGTGTTCTTTTTTTATATATATATATATATATATATATATATATATATATATATATATATATATATATATATATATATATATAAAAATATATAGGAAATAGGAACTCGTTAGGTAAATAATCAAAAGTTCTTAATATTTTGTTATTATCTTTTTAAAAATAGTGCTCGATACAAAAGTAGAGCATAAATATAATTATTTATTTAAAAATGTGATTCCAACACGCTACACCTCATTCTTCTAATTAATTCCTCTGTTTTTTGTAAAAAGTTTGACAAAATAATTCCGTTTGTTTGTTTGTAGAATGTTTTCAGAGAAATTCCGACATTCACTTTTCCATATTTTTAAAAAAGTTATTTTAAAATAAAGGTTCAAGTGCTCGACCTTAATTCGGGAGCCAATATATGTGAAAAATATATAGAAAATAGGAAATATATATATATATATATATATATATATATATATATATATATATATATATATATATATGTATATATATATGTGAAAAAATATATAGAAAATAGGAAAGAACTCGTTAGGTAAATAATCCAAAGTTCTTTAGCATTTTTGTTATTATTTTTAACAAATCTTTTTTAAATAAAAAAATATGTGATCTCCGGCAGGATTCGAACCTGCATCCTCTAGTGCAGAGGGAACCGTCTTTAGAGCTAACGTGCTTTAGATTCGGCAACGAAGAACTGACGACTATCAAAAATGCTGTCCGTTAAATTTCATTTTGTTCAATCGTGAGGCATATCCAAATCAGAGCGATGCAAGTTTTTCTTTTTGTTTTTTTTTAAATTCCTTACATAGACATGATTTTCCGCCTCATATGACATAGATTTTTTTCATCGGCGTTTCGTTTTGAACATCGTCAGAGACACAAAGTCTGCCAGAACATTCTCTGTATTTCATGTAAATATTTACACTTCTGAATCTAGCGAACAAGCACTTATGAACTAACCCAGATCACTGAAGAACCGGTCCGAGTCCCGGACGCGACTGGACAGCAGGCGAACCTCCTCGAACTTTTTCTAACATCCTGCCCTGATAAATGCTCAGCAAAATATTTAGCCTGCATTGGCACATTAGCTGATTCCGTTTTTGGACTCCAAGCCAATGACATCCCAATGATCTACCGTTCCATAGAACGGTTTTTCTCTATGCAGAGAAAGACCGGGACAGATTTCGGCCTTTCATGGCGGAAGTTCCTCTTCCCACCTTCCTCAACCATGCTGTTCCAAGACTGCTGCCCTAATCGCCGAATGGATCCTTTCCGGAATTGAGTGTTTTATACGCCCCACTTCCCCCAAAAAAAATCCAGCAAAAAACAAACACTCAGCTCTGATTCACACCTGAGTGCACTGCAGCCAAGCCCAATGGAACCACTACTTCAAAATCTATTGCAAAGAACAGTGTAGTCAGGATTTTACTGCCTTCAGAACCGCCTGCAATCGCTGTAAAAGAGTCTTGGAAAATGGAAAATGAAACTACGCGCGTTCTTTCCAAGCCGAGGTTGAAAATAAACAAATTGGATCTCGCGAATTCTGGAAGATGACCAACCAAATTCTAAACAAAACAGTTGCCTCAACTACGGCACCACATATCTTTTTTCTTTTTTTTTTAGCGGGGTGAGTTTTTGTAATTATCTACGTATAACAATAGCATAAAATAGCGGAAATGCTTGAGATTTTCCTGCCTTTTCATTTTAAATTAAAATCATTTAAAATTCACAATCAAAACAAGAATCATGTATTAAAAAAATGCTTTGAAATGTCACCTTTCAGAATCTGTATATATGTCAGAGATTTCAATCACGTGTGGAAATAAATCACGTGTTCAAACGCCACCTGTTGACAAATGCTACTAACACACACACACACACACACTAGTACATACATACACTCACACACACACTAACACATACATACGCACACACACACATATATATATTTTGTGCGTGTGTGTATGTTTTTATGCATATATGTGTGTGTGTAACGTGTTCTCATAAAACCGCTGAATGATGCATGCTCTTCTTAATAGAACCAATTATATTTTCCTTGTCTTAATTTTTTTACGCGTGTTGTACACGCCACTCGAGTTATGCCCAAACCTGAACATTTTCTAGTCGCTGGCTCAGACTTTTTTTAATCTGGGGTGTACCCCTTCCTGCGTTGCGCACAGTGTTCCGAATACATGGATTTGGCGAGTAATTAGGAAAATTACCCGACCTCAATTCCAAAGGAATTCTTGGTATCAGTATGAAAGAACATGCTGAAAATGTCCGTTTGAACATACCAAAAGCACAACGACTGATTGTCGAATATTTAGAGGAATTAAAACGCTAACAACACATGGGTAGAAACGTTCTTTTACCGTTTAACTTTCGGTTGGATTTCGTGAAGGCTTCTCCGAAATGCAAAATAATGAGAATCCATTGGTTTAGTGTTGCTTGCAAGAAAAAAACGGTTTTATATGAGACATTATTGATCGGGACTGACCAATGTCGCCTTTTCACTTGAAGGAAGCACTTAAAGGCTTCGCTTTGACATATCCGACATATCGAAGAGGGCCGAAAAGTATCACATTAGACGCACGAGGGCACTGAAAAGTTTCTTGACCGACCCATCGTCCAATGAATCTTTATGCACGCACACACAGACGAAATCACACACAAAAGATAGCATTGGATATTTAAATAAACTAATTGTGTGTGTTTTTGGATAATAGATTTAGATTAGATAGATAGGATCCTTATATAGGAACATGTTTTGATAGATAGGAACATTTAAACCATCAGAGAGAAGGAGAGATAAGAACAGATTTAACTAGATAGATAGATAGATAGATAGATAGATAGATAGATAGATAGATAGATAGACTCAAGAGCCTGAGATATATAGATAGATAGATAGATAGATAGATAGATAGATAGATAGATAGATAGACTTATATAGGAACATGTTTTGATAGATACAAATTTATTTAAACAAACACACAGACAGAAAGATAAGAACTAAGATAGATGTGTGCGTCTGCTGAGATATATTGGATATTTAAATAAACTAATTGTTGTGTGTGTAAACAGAGAGATAGGAGACAGACAGATGATAAGAACATGTTTAGATAGATAGATAGATAGATAGATAGATAGATGATAGATAGACTCAATGAGATATATAGATAGATATGATAGATAGATAGACTTATATAGGATTTTGATGAAATAGAAATATATTTAAACAGAGAGATATGCACAGACAGACAGATAGATAAGAACATATTTAGATAGATAGATAGATAGATAGATAGATAGATTTTCAAGATAGATAGGAAGATTTAAATAGATAGATAGATAGATAGATAGAGGACTTATATAGGAACAGATTTAACAGACAGATAGATAGATGATAGATAGAGATAGATAGATAGATAGATAGATAGATAGACTAGATAGAAATAGCCTGAGATAGATAGATAGATAGATAGATATTTAAATGAATAGATAGATAGATAGATGATACTTATATAGGAACATGTTTTGATAGATAGATAAATATATTTAAACAGAGATAGATGATAGATAGATAGACAGACAGATAGACTCAATAAGAGATATACATATTTAGATAGATAGATAGAGATAGATAGATAGATAGATAGATAGATAGATAGATAGATAGATAGATAGAGATAGACTCAAGGGCCTGAGATATATATAGATAGATAGATAGATATAGATAGATAGATAGATGATAGATAGACTTATATAGGAACATGTTTTGATAGATAGAAATATATTTAAACAGAGAGATAGATGCACAGACAGACAGATAGATAAGAACATATTTAGATAGATAGATAGATAGATAGATAGATAGATAGATAGATAGATAGATAGATAGATAGACTCAAGGGCCTAGATAGATAGATAGATAGATAGATAGATAGATAGATAGATAGACTCAAGGGCCTGAGATAGATAGATAGATAGATAGATAGATAGATAGACTTATATAGGAACATGTTTTGATAGATAGAAATATATTTAAACAGAGAGATAGATGCACAGACAGACAGATAGATAGATAGATAACATATTTAGATAGATAGATAGATAGATAGATATAGATAGATAGATAGATAGGAACTCAAGATGCCTGACAGATAGATAGATAGATGAATAGATGATAGATAGATAGATAGATAGATAGATGAATAGATGAGATGAATAGATAGATAGATATAGGAACATGTTTTGATGAAGACATGTTTTTGAAATATATTTAAACAGAGATAGATAGACAGACAGACAGATAGATAAGAACATATTTAGATAGACTCAAGGGCCTGAGATATATAGATAGATAGATAGATAGATAGATAGATAGATAGATAGACTCAAGGGCCTGAGATATATAGATAGATAGATAGATAGATAGATAGATAGATAGACTCAAGGGCCTGAGATATATAGATAGATAGATAGATAGATAGATAGATAGATAGATAGATAGACTTATATAGGAACATGTTTTGATAGATAGAAATATATTTAAACAGAGAGATAGATGCACAGACAGACAGATAGATAAGAACATATTTAGATAGATAGATAGATAGATAGATAGATAGATAGATAGATAGATAGATAGATAGATATCAATAGATATATAGGCAGATAGATAGACTGAAAAGAAAGACTCAAAAGAAAGAATGAAAGAATGAATGAAGGAAAAAAGAAAATATAGAAAAAAAAAAAAAAAGAACTGAGATATATAGATAGATAGATAGATAGATGATAGATAGACAGATAGATTTCAAAGGGTGGATATTGATAGATGGTTTAGATGTAGATAGACTCAAGGGGCCTGAGATATATAGCAACAACAGATAGATAAACTGGGCCTGAGATAGAGATAGATAGATAGATAGATAGATAGAGATAGATAGATAGATATAGAGGTAGAATAACTGAAAAGAAAGAAAGAAAGAATGAAAAGAATGAATGAAAAAAAAAAACAGACTGTGAGGTTTAGCTTTTGGAGACATAGAGAAATATAAACAGACGGTTGACAAAGGAAATATCATGGCGTAATTATTGCGTCTCGCTGGGATTCTGAAGACAACATTTTCAGTTCTTAATTCCTAATCTTATCTTTTTTCCCTCCAGCGATTTGAGAAGAACAGTCAAAGTGTTCAACACAGATGCCCCCCTCCACACCAAATATTAATCTTATCGGTTCTGTTTTGCTTTTATTTTTGTAATAAATCTTCACCCAACTCCTCGGACTCTTGTTTCTACTGCTATTTTTTTTTTTTTTTTTTTTGCTGCTGCGTATGTCTATGCGTTTGTTTATCTCGATACCTGCACTTTGGCTTCAATTATGTGCATAGGAGGTTCCCTTTTATGGTTTGGAAAATCTTCGTTTACTTGTCTTGTTCTTACGATACTAGCCTTATTTGGCCACCAGTGTTAGGGAAGCATAATCCTGAATTCAAACCTGATTGAGCGTGGGGCTATCAATACTTGTTATGGTGAAACACACCTATTCTACAGTTAATAGACTTTCCCACCTAATATAAGTAGGAGTAGTAAGAGAAACGACGGTCAGTCGATGTCGGACGACCGGCTGAACGGTTTAACTCTCTGCCTTCGGGCGGGGAGGAACACGACCGAGGCTATACCGAAGGGCGAAGTCTCGTTCGGGGAGGTAAACCGAACCTGAACCCGTTTATACGGGTTCAAAGGGTATATTTTTGGCCGAGCCCACGGGCTCGGAGATCCCACGGGCTCGGAGATCCCACGGGCTCGGAGATCCCACGGGCTCGGAGATCCCACGTTAAACCGGTCTTGTGCCACATGATACCCTCGTGGGTGGGGGTGACTAAATACTAGTCGATGTCGGACGACAGTTAGTCGAATACGAAAGTAGTCAGCAACCACAACAAGATTACTCTGCGTAATACCTATTATATCAAGTTCCTAACATTTTGTACGTCGAACCTATTTTAGGACCCATTTAGTACAAATACAAGCCTCCACTGCGAAAATAACTCCACAACAATACTACACCATAAAACTTCTACTTCCTACTTAAACACAGCGACAATATTTAACACGGTGTAGCTGTGGCCCTATTTTCTATAGGGGAATAGCACTAGTGAAAAGGAAGAGCAGGCGTGGGATATAGCAGTGAATGGTGTGTTTATGACGTAATAGGTAAAGAAATAGTGTAACTGTGGCAGTCACGGGACGCGGACAAGAGTTAACACTAACCACGCAACTATAGTTGTGTTTAAAATGATAGCGCACTCTACTTGCGTTGTAGCAACTGCTCTATGCTTTTCTTAAGTGACAGTCTTCTTTATGTGCCATTCCCCCCACCAGGATGTAGGTGATCATGGTCCCCACAATTTCCTGTCCTTTGTAGCTCTTAATATTTTGGGTTTTTTTTTTTTTGCGATTTCTCCTAAATCATACTATGCCATCCATTTACTCAACCTTGTTAAGTAGGTCCTTGGTTTCACCAGGTCTAACCATCGCGGCTAGGACCCGCTATGCCACTTACATGGTATCAAACCACCCACATTCCCTCCGTATTCCATCGACGGAAAGTTCTACTTGAACAGCTTCTTGCTGCGAACAACTTCCCTGTGGAACAGACACCCAAGAAGATGTTTCCCCGTTCACTACAATCTTAACCTCTTCATGTCTAGATTTAAACTTTATCTTCCCCTCTTAGCCATATAAACTACCCCTTAACGTAATCCTCTACATCGAGTGGCCTCTGGGCCTTGTAGAGGGTGAAGCCTACTGTGAAAAATGTTATGCGCTGTTTTCCTATGTCCCTCTTTCCTTTCATCTGTACTGTGTGTATCTGATTTTCCAAGCCTTCTTTCCTTCCTCATTCCGTGCCGCTGTAATTTCATCTGTCTCTTTTTAATATTAAGTATAATGATCCGAGTGTCAGTTCTTTCTTTCTTTTTATGTGCCATGTCCTTTCAGGACGTAGGCGATCATGGCTCTCCACCTCCCTCTATCCCTTGCAACTTTCAACTGCTTCCTCCCCCAGACTACGTTCTGTCATCGACTTGCTTAAAGCCGGCAGGTAGGTCACGCGTTGTTTTCCCTTGTCTCTCTTTCCCTACTATTGACCTGTGAGTATCAGATTCTCCAGGCCCTCCTTCCTCATTATGTGTCCCAAAACTTCAGCTGCCTCTTCCTGATATTAATTATAAGCCTCCTTCTTGTTTGCAAACTCTCTAAGACCTCATCGTTGCTCACACGCTCGGTCCATGATATCCTTAGCATCCTTCTGTAGAACCACATGTTCGTCGCCTCGAGTCTCTTCTTCATCTTCATCAACATTCGCTGCCGTAAAGACCAACAGATGTGACAGTAGCATGCTAATAAAACGACAAGGTGATATCTGGACCGATGACAGTGACAGTTGAAAACTGCTAATGAATCATATTGATTCATAACCCATAGTTGATTCAAGAACAGTGACAGATATGGACGGTAACTAACCAACGAAGAGGAACACTGCGTCAAATCATAATCCAAATTGATACGGGTGGAGTTCAACTCATTAGTAGACGTACTGTGCATCGTAGACTGCATTCCTTTGGGGGTTTCGTAGTTGTCATCTAACACGGCTACTTTTATTACGACAACGATTAGACGATGTGAAAATCGTTCCGCCATGTTGTGTAAATAGACGAGTAACGTTTATGTTCTTTCAAAGAAACGATCATATTTGTGAATGTGGGAGAACGCATGATCGCTTGTCAAACTTTTTTTTTTTTTTTTTTTTACAGTAAGGTTCACCATGTACAAGGCCCGGGGAGCACTCGCGGTAAGAGGCAGTTTATATGGATAAGTGAAGCTAACGGTTGACTCTAGACTTTCACAGGTTAAGATTGTAGTGATCGGGGAAACATCCTCTTGGGAGTCTGTTACATAGGGCAGTGGTTCGCGGGAAGAAGCTGTTTGAGTGGAACTTCTCTTCGATGGAATACGGGGGGGGGACTGCCGGTTGTTTGTGGAATGGCGGGTCCTGACGGTGATGGTTAGACCTGATAGAACCAAGGAACGTAGTTCAACTAAGCTTTGTCTATGGAAGTAGCGATAGTGCCCTGAGAGGCTCGCCTCATGCCACCTGTGAGAGACAGGTTGGAAGGTGGAAAATAATTCGTCTCCCACAAGGACTCGTAGACGCTTTTAAACTCCATTGGCTCCATTTTCGGTCTGATCTGCCTCATATAAAATAGGAGGATAGCATGGGGGGGTCAGGCACTTAACAGAGCAGTACAGGGAACGGATCAATTTACCCGCATCTTTAACGATCGATCGTATATAGGAGTTCTACTTGACGTCGGGTGTGAGTTTCAGGCCCAATATCCTCTCGAGGCACGGTGTCTCCTAAAGGGAACACCCGTTCATCGTGACTGGCTGCAGTTTTGGGTCTGATCGGCGGTGATAGAATGTAATCAAATTGGCATTATAAGTATTGAATATAATCAGCGGGTTTTTCCCTACTGGAAAATTAGTGTTATATCGGAGAGAGGTCAGCCACCAATCTCTGATCATCAAGACGTTTAGAGGTGTGCTCGTATATCGTCTTTACAAATGATCGGAGTTTATTCTTAGGTAGAATATTTATGTAAATCAGAAAGAGGGTTGGTCCGAGAAGTGACCCCTCGAGGACGCCTGCGCTGACCGCCAGAACCTCGGACGACTGGCCGTTAATAACTACTTTCAGCGGTCTACCTGTTAGGAAGGAATTTATAACAGAGAAAACCCTTCCAGTGATTCCAAAGCTGGAGAGCTTGTGTAGCAAAACTTTGTGCCACACCTACTCGAAGGCCTTCGAAATATCTAATGCTATGATACTTTCGGTATGTGTGTCGTCAAGGGCCTAAGTAATTTTGTGTCTAATGGTAGTTAGGACATCAGCAGTGGATCAAACTGATCGAAATCATACTGCTCGTCGCACAAGAGGTTTTTCCTATCCAGGTGCTCGACGACTTTCTTGTTGATTTAGGCCTCAAAAGACTCACTGATGATGCTGAGGAGAGTAATGAGTCTATAGTGGGAGGATAAGGATCGGTTGCCCACGATCTTGAAGACGGAGCATGCGCTCGCTACATTTCATATGCTTGGAAACGATTCCTCGTTCAAGATGTGGTTAAATAATTTTGCTAGAATCGGGGATATTTCTGGGTTGGTATTCTTAAGGACAAAAACTAGAATTTTGTCTAGGCCTGAAGCTTTTTTTTTTTTCGAAATTTTTGATAAATCTAGAGACTGTGTATATTACTGGGAGTGAGATGTGGGAAGTTGGGAAGAGGGTGGCCTTTGTCATCTAACGCTGGGTTTGAGGCAAAGATCGAGAGGAAAAGCTTCGCCTTGTCTGCCAAAGAAGATATGACCTCGGGGTCATTTGTAATAGTGCGCACAGCTGCTTTGCCTCTGTTCTGAATTTCGTTAGTCATCTCCCAGAATTCGCGAGATCCAATTTGTTTATTTTCAACCACGGCTGGAAAAGATCGCGCGTAGCTGAATTTTCCATTTTCCAAGACTCTTTTACAGCGATTGCAGGCGGTTCTGAAGGCAGTAAAAGACTACACCGTTCTTTGCAATAGATTTGGAAGTAGTGCTTCCATTGAACTATGTACGCAGCGCACTCAGGTGTGAATCAGGTCTGAGTGTTTGTCATTTGCTGGTATTTTTTAGTGGGAGTGGGGCGTATAAAACACTCAATTCCAGAAAGAATCCATTCGGCGATTAGGGCAGTAGTTTTGGGGCAGCATAGTCGAGGAATGTGGGAAGAGGAACTTCCGACATGTAAGGCCGAAATCTGTAACAGTCTGCCTCTGCATAGAAAAATCCGTTCCATGGAACAGTAGATCAGGAGATGTCATTGGCTTGAAGTCAATCTGGACACTGACTAGAGAATGAGCTAACGTGCCAATGAAGGCTAAATATTTTGCTGAGCATTTATCAGGGCAGGATGTTAGAAAAAGTTCAAGGCGGTTCGCCTGTTGTCCTGTTGCGTCCAGGACTCGGGTTGGTTCTTTAGTGA